CCCAGTCACTGTGAGGAGGAGGGGAGGGAGGGGGCTCAGGAGAGGGGGAGCGTCCTGGAATTTATTTCTGGGGGAGGGATGGGAGGTGGGCGCATTTCTCATATGTTTGAAATATCTGACATTAAACAACTGAGGGGCAGAGAGCAGTGGTTCCGGCCGGTGATGCCCGCCTCGCCTGCTGCCCGGGTGCTTTCAGGTGGGATCTCGTGATGCAGCAAAGCACTAGTCCAGTCTCACTCCATCCTGGGCACTGACTGATAGCCTCCTCCCAGGGAAGTGGGCTGTGCCAGGAGGAAAACTGGGGAACTGTTCAAGCTATTGTCTGGAACCAGTTCTGATGGAGAGAGGGGTGTCCTGCCTTCTCAGTCCCTGCAAGAGACCCTGTGTCCTTCATTCTTGGGTTCCCCTTGCCTCCGCCTTCCAACTGACTGGCCCAGAGCAGCTCTGGGCCTGTCCAGGGAAAGCTCAACCCTCTTTTCTCCTGCTTCACTGAGGTCCAACCAATACGCAACTGACAGATGAAACACTGAAGTGCAAGTTTGATAGGTCTGACATCTGAGTGTACTCAGGACACTGCCCCACTACCCCACTACCGCGACTCCTGGGCTCTGGCAGACCTGACTCATATGACCTCTCACCTCTACTGCACTCACAAAACAGGCCAATGAAGGCAAGGGACTCTTTCCATGGCAGTGCAGTCAGGGCCCCCCAAAAAACGCATAATCCCCAAAGCTTGGTAAAAATAGAGTGAACAGGTGTTAAAGCTTTCTTTAACTCATTTCTGGGGAAACTAGCAGATTCCAACACTGGATCAGATGATGTGGTGGGTGGGAGGGGAGGAGACTGAATGACAACCAGCCCTGGGGGTACCCACAGGCCACAGGGGGTGCCTTCTCCAGGGTTCAGAGTGGGGCTCACGCTCACTGTTTCTCATAACTACACACAGGTGAGCCAGGTCAGCTGCACAAGAGTCTGACCCCCGGAAGGCTTGCCAGCAAACACTATAGCTGGAAACTGGCAGGCTATTCCATCATCTCTGTCTCATCTCCAAGATGTTTTAGTTTTAGTTTGTGTGTGTGTTCATAAAATACACACCACATAAAACATACTATCTTAAACCACTTTCAAGTACACAGTTGATGGCATTAGATACATCTGCATTTCTTCCATGAGAGGGTGGGAGGAGGCATCCCATCAAGTTTTCACACCACAGTCCAGCCCCAGTGGATCGTGGCACAAGCCTGCCTGCCTGGTGTGTGCAGTGAGGTCTCAGGACTCACATCCGGGACCTTCCCTGGGGGTCCTGCAGCTGGGAGCACTGTGTCACCATTGTACCACATTCTGATCCACACGTCCACAGTGTGTGCAACCACGGCCGCCTTCCACCTCCAGAACTTTCCATCTTCCAAGTTGAAACTCTGTCCCCACTCAACACGGACTCCCAGTTCCCACTCCCCACCCCTTGGCAACCACACTCTACTTCCCAACTGAGTGTAACGTCATCAAAGTTCATCTATAGTGAAGCGTTGGCCAGAAGTTCCTTCTGTTTAAAGGCTAAATATTCCATGGCATGGATGTGCCAGTCGTGTTTACCACTCACCCCTCAGTGAATCATTTCCAAGTTTTGGATCCCATTTCTTGCTGGTGGCATCCCAGGGAACTCAAGCAGCAAGCAGCTGGCGAATTGAAGCTTCACACTGCACGGCTTTTGAGAGGAGCCTCGGTGGGTGTCCGTCCAACGGCCCCTGTATGTTGGAGTGGACCATGTGGATGGTGTGGGCAAATAGGCTCCCTGAACATCTAGGGATAGGCCACAGTGGAGCAGATGCTGCTTCCGCCCCTGGGTGTCAGGTCAGGGGAAGGAACCTATGGGGCTGGGCAAGAGGCTCCTGGTGCCAGATCTGCCTCTGGTTCCAAGGCTGGCCCCCAGCCATGCTGCATGTGCCTGTATTAGCTCTCCTGAGCCAATGAAAAACAAACCACACAGTCCTTGAGCCATAGCGAACTTTCTAGAATGAGCCTGCAAGGCTGGGTCATCTCACACAGCTACCAGGCTCTGGAGCCTCTGCAAATGCAGATGTTATTAAATATGACCCAGGGAGCTGCCACATCCCTCGCTCACCCCACCCGACAGGGAAAGCATATGAAGGGGCTGGGAGTGAACTGCGGGGCATAGGTCTTGGTTCAGTGACTGGCCGACATCCTTCCACTGTGCAGGTCAGCTTCCTGTCAGGTTGTCCCAATCACAAAAGGGTGGGTGGGCAGATGTGTGAGTCGAGGTGTGGTCAGTAGAGCCCTGGTTGGGGCCTGTCTCCAGCTCTGGCCAACTCAGCTTAATTGATTCTCTCTCTCTCTTTTTCACTGAAATACAAAATGTCCCAAATCCAGAACCTGCTCAGTCCTTGGGGGCTGTCTGCCTGGTGACAGTTCCAGGGGTCTGTGTGCTGTTGCTGTGGGACACACTACACACACTGCTCCCAGCACTGGACTTTGCCTGCACTGAACAGCACGGCCTCCATAGGCAAGTGCACTTTAATTACTACTCACTTCACCACCTGTGGGTGTCCCAAGAGGAGAAGAATATAAGATTTACATGGTCCCTGTTGACGGATAAGGAGACCAAGCCTGGGGACAGGAATGTGACTTGCCCAAAGCGAAGCAGTGGGAAGGCAGCGGGAGCCAGTGGTGAAGCGCTTGTCCTC